TCAAATTCTTAGTTGAGTTAATACAATATGTTGCTTTCCCTCACAATTACTGTTGTGATTCATCTTGCTATATATGATCTCGTCTAGTATGTCGCCTAAATTTTTTTTTTGATGATTACAAAGGGGGAGAAATTGCATAAGATTAATCAAATAAGAGTCTGTCCACTAAGGGGGGAGAGCATACACTAAGGGGAAAGTTGTAAATATGTAGACTCGCTATGACATAGGCACAACACTGATTACTGATTATGTTACTCTCTCTATCTGCTTATTTGAAACTATTTGATCAATTATATTTGTCATCATCAAAAAGGAGGAGATTGTTAAGTCAGATGAAAACGAAGCAATTTCAAGTGAGGTTTTGAATATGACAAATATAATACATGTTGTTATTTCTAACAAGTGTGTCAATGCTTCAGAAAAACATAAGTACAGGCAAACTGAAGAATGAAACAAGAACCACTTCATGCACAAAAAATGAAGGCATCAAATGAAAAGCCAAAACAAGAACCAAACAAAAAAAATAGCAAAGAAAGCCAAATGGTCAACTCAGATGAAGAATAGTTAAAAACAAGGCACACAATGAGAATTAGGCAAAGTATAATATGTGCACCAGACGATTGATGAGTCATTATTTTCCCTTATTTTCTTACCTTACTGTACTTATTTTAATCTTTGATTTGCGCTTAACTGTTGATTATATCCACTATTTTCTATTTGGGCTTTAATTGGACCGGTAATTCATATTTTAACTAATTTGAGTTTTCAAAATCTAATTATTCCAAAATTTTATTTTCAGGGCAGTTTAGTAATTATCTGGGCTTGGAATTAATTTCTGGATTTCAAGTGGAGCTGCCACATCATCTGCCATGTCATTTTTCCACCTCAGCATTTAATTTCATTTTTTTTATTCTGTTTTATTTGTAATTTTCGGGTCAGACCTAACCTGGGGCCCATGTTGACTCTTTTAGGTTTATTTTAGGGTCCTAGGGCAGCCACCAACCTCCAGACTTGATGTGACCACGTTGGGGCTGCCTCTCTTGAGTTTTCTGGACGTTTTTCCTTCATGCAGCTACAGTGTTTTGATGTTTCTGATTCCCTGTTGCTTTCATTTACGTTTTGCTCTCTTTAGCTGCCATTTTCGTTTTACTCTCTTCTTCTCCTCTTATATGCATTTTGTATCTGAACTGAACCTTTACATTTGAAATACAGATTGTCATTTTCGTTTCCTTCTCTGCCTTGCATTTTCGTTTTCTGTTTTCATTTTAATATGGAAGGCTAAAAACCCCTGGGTTGGGTTCTTGTTGTGGATTGTAATCTCTCTTTGAGGTTGGGTATGTTTGTATGTCTCTGTTCTGCTTGTTCTTCTCCATTTAACCTCTCTGTCCATGCTTAATGGGCTGTGCTCCAAGCCACAGTTGCTTAATCTGTGAAGAGGTTGATGTTGTATACGTTTGCTTAATTCGTGTAGAGAAATCTTGAGTTAATCTTCGCTTAGTTGGTTAACTCGGATGGAACAAGGATTAAGTGGTTAATAGAGTAATGTTTGAGAACCAGGGATAAAAGAGTTACAATCCGAACAAGGAGCCAATCCATTTTTACTTGCTGTTTTATTTCGTTTTATTGTGTTACGAACTGAAAACCTGAAAGCAAACCCCCCTACTGTGTGTTTAAGCCTTTAACAGTAAACGACGGTCCTTGGGAGACGACCTAGGAGTCACTTCCTAGTACTACATTTAATTGTATTTATTTGACCGGATACGGCTCCGATCAACGATCATAAGTCTAAAATTAGACGAAGATGTGTCAAAGAGAAACCTCCAGTACGATATAAGGAATTAGATGAACCATGAGTCAAAGATCAAAAGAAAGTCAAAGCATTAAACTTAGATGCTCAGACGGAGGACAAGATTGAGATGCATGGGACCAATAGACGTAGACGAAGACTGCCACACAACCAATTAAAGAATCAAGTCTTAAAACATAAATCAAGGCAGCGTCAACAATCACTCAAATGGTCTCAACGTAAAAGACGTGATTAAAGAGAAGAGAAAAAGAACAAGAAAAGCACGTAAAAGCAAACGCATGCATGTGTTAGAAAAAGTACATAACTTTTTAGGTAAGGACAACACTCTACAACTATGTGACCAGAAAAGGACAAAAAGGTTTCTAGGTCTCTGCTAAATTCAGACACTGCTACTAACAAGCTAAAGAAGACTTCACGTAAGGTCTATCACAGGAAGCTACATTTATTGCAAGAACTCAAGCATTAAATGAGTAGATTGAACTAGTCATAAACGACTTTATCTGCTTCAAAGGACACTTGCAACGGGCAGATTCTACAAGACAATATATATATCACTATCTCAAACCTTGGAAGGTTGGCTTCCATGTTTGCAATTTTAACAAAGTGATATCAAGCCCATGAAACAACGAAACTAGAGATAGAGCATATAGAGTCAAATGTACAATAGTGTATTCATCTCTGTAAACTAAGGAGTTCTAAACATGTGCATTTTAGAAACAAAACCTTAGTGAGTGTACCAATTTATGTATCCTCTCTATGAGAGTAAACCAAACACTCAATTGTTGTAAAGACTAAGGTTACATACCTTAGTGAGTGTAGAAACCTATGTATCCTTTCTATGAGAGTAACCCATACACTCAAACCGAACCTGTCCAGTAAATATTTGTAAAGCCTAAAGAGGGCAGGGAAAGAATACTTGTAAATCTTTGAGATGCTTGTCAAAGAATACTCACTAGGAGCCAGAAGTGGCTGATCAAAGAATATTACTATTGATGAGTGAAGTCAACGGGCCAGGAGTTGGTCGAGAATACTCACTAAGAGCCATAAGTGGCTGAGTAAAGAATACTAGCGTTGATGAGTGAAGTCGACGGGCCAAGAGTTGGTCAAGAATACTCATTGAGAGCCAGAAATGGCTGAGTAAAGAATACTAGCATTGATGAGTGAAGTCAACGGGCCAAGAGTTGGTCGAGAATACTTATTGGGAGCCAGAAGTGGCTGATCAAAGAATACTAGCGTTGATTAGTGAAGTCAACGGGCCAGGAGTTGGTCGATAGTACTCACTGGGAGCCAGAAGTGGTTGAGCAAAGAATACTAGCATCTACGAGTGAAGCTAACGAGGCAGAAGTGGTTGAGAATACATGAGACCAGGAGTGGTCGTGACCTGGGTGGTCTATAATACTCACTACGAGCCTAAAGAGGCTGAATAAACAATACTTGTGTTTCATTATATATCTAGTGGAACCCTTCATTTGAAGGAGATTGGACATAGCATAGTTTGAGTGAACCAGTATAAAAGATTTATACTAATATTATTTTACTGGACGAAAAAGAGCCTTAGTGCGAAAAGATTTTAAAATTCCTTTGTTAACATACACACACATATTCAACCCCTCCTTCTATGTGTTTTTCATCTAACTTCACTTTTACACTATGTTCTTGTGCAGCCCATATCTACAACTACTGAAATTGGATTTGAACGTTCTTAATGTCTATGGAAAGATAAAAGAGTGTTCTACAACTTTTTTATTAGGAGAAAAGGCCATTTTAGTTGTTAAGGGACCCAAAAATGTGTTGCAAGGTTATAGCCTTGTGCAGTATTTTTTGTTTGTTTTTAGATTGTATTGTTAAGATTTGTTTAGTGATATAATTAGTTGATTTAGTGGGATGGGCCTTTAATTACTCAAATTAGACTCACTATATTTCTCAATTAATAGGTGTTGTGACACTTGTTTGAAGTTAGATGAAAAACACATAGAAGGGGGGGTTAAATATGTGTGTCTGTGTGAACAAAGGAATTTAAAAACTTTTTTGTAAGAAGGATCTTTTTCGTCTAGTGAAATAATATTAGTGAATGTTAAACTCGAACTTCCCAGGATTGGTTCAACAAAATACTTTTGTGTCTGGGATTTTATCGTCTCCTTAGGGAAAATGCTTTTTGAACGAAAACCATCCTTTAAGATAACTTGAACAAATGTGGTTTTCATCTGAAGATAGTTTTAATAGACGATAAGCTTTAGATGAAGTTTTTAGTATATTAAATCAACCAAATAAAAGTGCGTCTGAAATATTAAAGCACAATGCAAGTATTTTTATACTGGTTCACTCAAACTGAGCTACGTCCAGTCTCCTTCAAAAGAAGGGTTCCACTAGATGTTCAATGAAGTATAAGCATTATGACCACTTCTGGTTTGCTAAGTATTGTCGACTACTTCTGGCCAGTCAACTTCACTCATCGACACTAGTATTTTTAATGAGCCTCTTTAGACTCGTATTTAGTATTCTCAACCACTCTTGGTCCTGAGAGTTCTCAACCACTCCTGGTTGGCTAATAACACTAGTATTCTTTATTCAGCCTCTTCAAGCTCTTAGTGAGTATTCTCGACCACTCTTGGTCACAAGTATTATCAACCACTCCTGGTTGGCTAACTTTACTCATTAGCTCTAGTATTCTTTGTTCAGCCTCTTCAGGCTCTCAATGAGTATTCTCGACAACTCCTGGTCCTGAGTATTCTCAACCACTCCTAGTTGGCTATTAGTACTAGTTTCTTTATTCAGCCACTTCTAGCTCTCGGTGAGTATTCTCGACCACTCCTGGTCCCAAGTATTATCAACCTAATGAAGGTGTGGCAAACATGTGGTTTGAAGACTTTTAGGTATAAACAACTACAAATATTATAATAACCATTTTATATTTTTCATTGCATTAAATTGCACATTGTTTAAATAATATTTTATAAATTTTTTATGTAGAGAAAGTTCAAGTGGCTGCCTGATCATGATGCACAAATAAGAAAAGCATTTGACCATAAAGCATCTGAAGGTCTTTCAAATGCTATGTATAGGGTGCGACGAGGCATTGATCTAGGGAGTTGGATTCCAAAGCAAAAACGTGTAGAACTTCAACAAAAATGGAATGATGAGAATTGGAAACATAAGTCAATGACTAATGCTAATAATAGAAATTCTTCTGATGGTTCATTGCATACTGGAGGATCCATTCCTACTTCTGAGCATTTTAAGAGATTGGTAAGTAATATTTACTTATTCTTTTCAGGAGCAAAATTTAAAATTAAACTATATTACTCTTTGTTCCTTCAGAAAATATCTACAGATATGACTCCAACATGTTGGGACCTATTCCAAAAGACCCATAAGACAGCAAACGGGAATACATGGGTGTCTTCCAAGGCAGAAAGGATAGCGGTAAGTTATAATTTTATATATATTGAATTATGAAGAACTTGATTGATTCTGTTAGAGAGATAATAATGATTATGTTTGCAAGACTTGACATATAATGGTTATATTAGAGACAGAACAATGGTTATGTTTCAACAATGGTTATGGTACTGTCAAAGTTGTCATGTTCTGTCCTTCACTGTCGACTTGACATATTAAGATAGGTTACAGTTAATGGTCTCAAAATTGCAAGCTATACCATTTATAGTATGTAATTTTTTTATATGATTTGAAATTTTTACTGAATTATGTGAACATAGAATCATTTCACCTTATTGGTTGTGCTCAATTTTAGTTTCATGTAATGTGAAGTGCTATCATCTCTACATCTTACTTTACTAATTGCTAAATTCAATGAGATTCATGTGTATGTGGTGTTGCATCTAGGTTTACAAGTTACTAATTTCATTGCAATTCATACTTATCTAGTGATGTGTTGCTCATAAGTTACATCTTAAACTTTTTACTAAGTATTTTTGTGTGTTCTTCTTGCATGATTCTTTGCATCATTCATGACATTCATGAGATCTTCTATTGTCATTATTAATGTTTATATACTTTTGTTTCTTACTTTTCTTTTTATAGAATGAGTATGAAAGACGGTTATCTGAAAGAGAGTCACAACAGTTATCGGGAGATCATGCTGCCTCTAGTGTGCAATCTGAAAATAGTATTTTCTATGATGTTGTTGGTGGTGTGAACGATAAAGGAAGAATATTTGGTTTAGGTTCAGAGGCTGGGAAGTATAAACCTTCTTCTTCTACATTCTTAGAGGGTATCTCAACTCCTGAGTATCAACAAATGAAAAATCTTGTTTCAAATTTGTCTGAAGAAAACAAATCATTAAAAGAACAATTGCAAAGCCATGCAGATTTGATTCGTGCTTCACAGGAAGAGTCTCGGTTGGTTCGTGAGCAGCTGAAGCAATTTATGGAGATGTTTTCTCAATCTTCTCGTCCTCTCCAACCTCCTCCTACACATGATGCTGACACAGTACAATCTGATGATAATGAGTTAGATGATGATCATGATATAGATGTTTAGGGATGCATTATCTTTTACTATTATGTTTACTATGCTTTAAACTTATAATTTGTTATGTTTAAGTTTTACTATAGTACTTATCATACATTAGGGATACTTTGTTATATTTGGTGTTATTTGTATCTATGGTATGCTTGACTTTCTTGTATTTTGAGGAATTCACCATCCAGCATGTACCCCGAGAACAAAATGTCAGGCCAATCTCCAGTCCAAGCTCTCAAGCACGAAGCGTCCTGGACAACATCAGACCATCATCCAGGAGACTATCAACTCCCCCAGATTGGACGCCAAGGTCGTAAGCGTCAACGACGTGGGGGACAAGGAGTGCATGACGAACATATGGAGCTATTTGTAAGAAGGGACGTTACCGGACGACAACGATGAAGCTCAGAAACTAAGGGTAAGGTCATCTAAATTTATCATTGTGGCAGGTGAACTTTTCAAAAGGAGCATCTCGGCCCCCCTGTTAAAGTGCTTGACCAAGGCCCAAGCCACCTATTTTATTGAGGAAATCCACCGGGGCATTTGCGGCATGCACTCTGGCGCACATTCCATGGTAGTCAGGGTAATCCGAGCTGGGTATTACTGGCCCACACTAAAGTCAGACTGCCAAGACTACATACAAAGATGCAAGGAGTGTCAGCAGTTCGGCAACACACATCGGTAACCACCTGAAGTCCTCCACAAAATGATGTCCCCGTGGCCCTTTGCCCAGTGGGGAATGGACATTCTCGGTCCATTCTCCCCCGCGAAAGGTCAACTCAAGTTCCTCCTTGTGCAGTCGACTACTTCATCAAGTGGATTGAGGTCTGCCCGCTTGCGAAAATCACCGCCGAGAATGTGCAAAAGTTCACCTAGAAGAACATCATTTGCAGGTTTGGTATCCCACACTCCCTCATCACCGATAACGGAAGGCAGTTCATCGCATAGAGCTTCGAGAGCTTCCTTTGAGAGCTCGGTATCAAGCAGCTCCCCACCTCGATGGAACACCCCTAAACCAACGGCCAAGCCGAAGCTGCAAACAAGGTTATTCTCCGGGAACTCAAAAAATGACTAGGAAATTCCAAGGGACAATGGGTTGACGAGCTCCCCAGTATTCTCTGGGCATATCATTGCACTTCCCAATCCACGACTCAAGAGACCCCTTATAGGCTAACCTACGGGGCTGACGTCATGATCCTAGTCAAGGTCAGCGAGACGTCCCATCGACGTCACACCTTCAACAACGAGCAAAAAACTCAGGAAACGGCCGTCAACCTCGACCTAATAGACGAACTCAGAGAAGAAGCTCGGATCAAAGAAGAAGCCTACAAACTTCGTTCCTCTAGACGATACAATACTAGGATCCAACCTCGCTCTTTCCGAGTTGGAGACCTGGTATGGAGACTACAAGGAGAGGCAAGAAGAGACCCATCAGAAGGGAAACTCGCGCCTAACTGGGATGGTTCATTTCGATTTGCTGATAGCTTGGATAATGGGGCATACCGGATAGAAGAACTCAGTGGCAAGGCCATCCCAAGAACTTGGAATGCCACTCACCTCAAATTTTACTACAGCTAACTTGTACAAATAAGGTGTTGCACTCTTTTTCCTACTTGGTCTTTTGTCCCAAAAAATAGAAAAATGGGTTTTAGCTGAGAGGGTTTTTAACGAGGCACACCTACAACATTAATAAAAATGACTCATTTTACTCATATCCCCTCAATTTTATGCTGTTGTGACATGATTTATATTAAGCCAAGGTCGAATCCGAACCTTGGCACTAATTATACTAAGCCAAGGTCGAATTCGAACCTTGGCACGAATTATATCAAGCCAAGGTCGAATTCGAACCTTGGCATGAATTATATTAAGCCAAGGCCGAATTCGAACCTTGGCACGAATTATATTAAGCCAAGGTCGAATTTGAACCACTAGAACGAATTACATTAAGCCAAGGTCGAATGTGAACCTTTGTACGAATCATATTAAGCCAAGGTCGAATTCGAACCTTGGTACGAATCATATTAAGCCAAGGTTAAATTCGAACCTCGGTACGAATCATATTAAGCCAAGGTCAAATTTGAACCTTGGTACAAATCAGATTAAGCTAAGGTCGAATTCAAACCTTGGCACGATTCATTTTAAATCAAGGTCACATTTGGACTTTTGCACAAATTATGATTAAAATGTCAAGCCTGAACCTTAAGGTCGAGTTCGAACCTCAGAAACAATAAAGGTCAAGTCTGAACCCTAAGGGCAAGTCCAAAACCTCAAAAAAGCAAAAAGGTCAACTATGAACCAGGACCAAAAAACCCAAGGCTACACCTAGTCGAATTCATTTGAGTGCGAAATCAAAAGCAAAAACTCAAACGACAATGAGAAAAACAATTCATATACGCAGCAAGTTCATCCATAAAAGATATGAGTTCGTCACAAAAAGTAAACAAAATAAACTAAATTATTACATCTAGCCTAAGTGGCAGTATTCTCGCTCGAGCTCTCCGGAAGGTCATCTTCATTCACCAACTGACCACCTCGCACATCCTTGTCAACGTGCATCATGGAGAATTCCACCCCAAAAGCAATAAATCGACCCTGGCTAGCCACCTTTGCAAACCCCCTCTTATGCTCCATAAAAATGGCCCGCTTAGTCTCGACGAGCCTCTTCTCCAAGCTTGCCCTCGCCGCAGCCATCGCATCAAGGTTAGCCTTCAAGGCGCCAACCTCCTCCTCCTTGCCAACCAGAAGCACCTCGTCGCATAGATGCTTCTCGGCTGCCTCCCTCAGGTTGGCCCGCAACGCTGCATTCTCCTCCTCTATGGTTAGAGCCCGACCCCGTGAAGCCTTTGCCTCAGCTTTGCAGACCTTGGCAACCTCTTGCAGGTCGCTAACTTGGGCAGCATATGCCTCATTGGCCTTCAGAGTGACTTCCAAAGAATTTTGAGTCTTTGAGAGATCTCTCCTCGAAGCTTGAAGCTCAGCTTCACTTTTCTTCGCCGCCTCCAGTGCGGCCTTCAAGGCCCGGTTCTCCTCCTCCAAGGGTAGAACTCGGCTCCGCGCACTCTCCAGCTCGCCCTGAAGACCAAGGAGAACCAAGAGAAGGAGGTCAACCAGATTCTGCTCTAACTTCATCCTCTGCTTATCCAGGTAAGGAGGGAGTGAGAAACCTCTCTCGAGGGTGTGGGAATAATTATTAGGTAGCAAGATTGGTCCCCAATCCCTTGCTTGATGCATGCTTCTAGGAACAAGCAAAATATGAATGTTTTCTGTTTTTCTTTCTGATTGTTCTATTTTGATACATAAACTACTTAATTTTACTTATATTCGAGAGTTAGAAGGAGATACAGGAATTGATAGAGTATTTACCTAACCTATATAAATGTGGGCCTGTATTCACAAGACCAACTCATATATTTAGTTATCGCTAGAGTATTTAACTTAAATTCATAAATAATTTTGTATTTGGATTGATTAATTATTGAGAAATAAAAATAAAATAATTACTTTTGTTTTTAATTATAATTTTTGAAATCTTATTTTTGTTGAAAATTCTAAAATTATAATTCAATTTTCTCTAATATTATTCATTAAGAGAAAAATGAAAATAATTTTATATAAAAGTGATATATATATATATATATATATATATTGTACTGCAGTTAAATTGTTCATTTTGTTATAATTATTATTTTTTTTTTTGAAATTTTTTGTTTAGCGACGGTTGACTTGATCCCTTCCAAAAGGTGATTCATGTTGACGTGTTATTAGATTTTTTCTTTCTTGATTTATGTACTATTTTGATGTATATGACTACGAGAAATTTCTTGTATAAGACTATGTGAATATGACATGAGAATGTGAAAGGTGAATATATGATCTGTGATATGATATTGTGAAATAATGTGACATGAGATATGATGAGACATGATAAGTGAAATGTTGAGTCAATGAAATAGTGAATGTGTGACATGCATCATGTGCATATATGACTCCAGGTGTACCGCTTAGGCCGCATACCAGTGATGTAACAAGTTATTCCAGATGTACCTTGGGTCACCAGTGATAAAATGATTTATTCTAGGTATGCCGCTTATGCCTCATACCAATGATGTAACAAGCTATTCCAGGTGTACCTTGGGTCACCAGTGATGAAATGATGAGAAATGTGAAACTTCTATATGGCGCTACATGCATACATTTATTAGTCGAGTCCATGACATTATTGCATGATAAGTGAATGTATATGCATTTTAATGTATCTATAACTTGAGAGTTATGCTTGGTTATGTGTAACTTGTGTGGTATTTGTTATGATTGTGTGAGAGTTGCCTAACATTTATTTCTACACCTGAACCTGAGTGACATGTTTCTCACTCCCTTGTTGTTCTATGTGTATTTTATTGTGTTGTAGGTGATCATCAACATGAGGATGTTGGTGATGAGGCTTAGGCTTCAATTGGGTGTGTAACGTAGTAGGGTATTTCTGAAGGCCCAAAAGCCCAATATGGGTGATTTAGTAGCCCAGAACGGGCCGTTCCCAATCTAGAATGGGCCGTTCCAAACTACTAAATTGACCTGTAAATCGTAGTTGAGAACGGGTCGGTTAGAACACCTTACACTACAGAGATTATTACATCAATGTACGTTTGACTTTATGAGCTCTATCCCTAGTTTCATTACTTCATGGGTTTGATATCACTCTTTGTATATCTTTTCTAAAAGCCAACCTTTTCTATGAACCCTTCGTTGAAGCAGATATAGTCATTCATGACTAGTTTGATCTTTCATTTAATGCTCGGGATCTTGCATTAAATGTTGCTTCCTATTCATGGACATTGCGTGAAGTCTTCTTCATTTTACATGCAATAGTGTTTGAATTTAGTAGAGACTTAGGAACCTTTTTGTCCTTTTTTGATCGCGTAGCTGTAGAGCGTTGTTCTTATCTGAAAAAGTAATGTTCTTTTTTTGACACATGCATGCTTTTACTTCTGCGCTTGATTTTCTTTTTCTATTCTCATTTTACTTACTTGATAATGTTGAGAGCTCTTTTATATTCGTAGACGATGCCTGATTTGTCCTAGGAGACTTGATTTCTCAATTGCTTGTATGGCAGTTTTCGTCTCCGTTTGTTGATCTTGTGCATCTCAAGTC